ACATGACCAACAGCACAATAGCGGCTGTGATGCCATTTTATCATTAGAAGCAATGAACGAGTCTTTTCGTGACCATATGAACAATCAGAACTGCGTTCAGATGAGCGGCATGCAGGAAATCATTGTGACCACATGAAAAAGTGAAATTCGCTGGCCAGGGCGTGTTGCTGTCCTTGCAACAACCGGTAGAGTCGCTTATTAATGAATGATACTCGGCAAGAAGTTCACTCGGATGACTTCTGATAAGAAGTTCACTCGGATGACTTCTGATAAGAAGTTCACTCGGATGACTTCTCAAGCAGGCTTTGAGTACCACAGTGCATCCTAGTAACACAAATAAAATTAATGTTTTTGCCCCTACAGTACTGATAATCGTAGTAAACAGTGTGAAGCTGAAATTTAAAGGTATAAGAGAAAAAGTGCCGGAGCTAAAGACAGCTTGGTTACCTTTTATAAAGAAAGACAAAGAAATCGTTATTATTCTCGAAAAGTTATTGATTCGGTGCTTCGAATTTTCAGTGTCTATAAACCGAAACATATTCGTGTAATGATTGTTTCATTCGAATATGTCGATGCCGAGATCACACGTGCTGGCCTAAGTATGCTTCCGTATTTGATTGTTGGTTTTGTAATAATGTCATTTTGTTCAACGATTTCGACGCTTCTCAGCGCTGCATATATGCAACAAATGAATCTTCATAAAGTTAGTAATTCTAATGGTCAATTGGTACTGGCTTGTATTCTGAAACAATTCTCGGATGATTTACTCTCATTCTTGCGGTAAAGTAAAACTTCCATATAGCCAAAGAGTGCTGTTATTGCTGTCGATCCTGTACTTTCTGTTTAGAAGCCTGTACTTTCATTCGGCTCTTGCAGATCTCTTAGTTTTTTTTTCTAAGATACCTCATCACGGTCAAAACAAAGTGGGGTTGCTTAACACATACCAATGACATCATAAAACGGTTGAAGCCTTGCCAAGTGCTTCTGTCGGAAGGATCGTTGAGCTAGAAGTCCCAAGAGGCGACGAAACAAACGTTAGGGTCGCTAGCACACTGATCAATAGGCAGTGGTGTATTGGTCAAAGCAGATGCGGGAACAGAAAAGCTAAAGATGACAAATCGTACTACGAACTTATG